AATCGATTGTTACATTTATTTTCAAGTTAAGGTCCAAAAATTTAAACGAAAAAAAAAAATCATTGAAACTAAAACTACTGATAGCTTTTAAAAAAAAATCGCTAAAAAAATGTGATTCAAGGTATTTTGATTTATTTTATAATTTTAAAGCAAAAGACGGAAAAATTCTATATACGGCAAATTATTTTAAGGAAACAGAGAAAGGTCCCATCCTGCAGGTTCGAGAACGTCGGTATGATATTGAAATACTGCGCCATTATAAAAGTTGTTTTCCAAAGGAGTTTCCGTATTAACTTGAGGTGGAATCGATCGAACAATTTGGTCGAAAGTACTGGTCTTTTTAGTGTAGGTTTTGTTTATAATATTTCTTAAAAGTTGTTCTTTGCGTATTCTTCTTAGTCGTGCTTTGTGTATTCTTCTTTGTTCATATAAATTTCTTGACAGCATTTTGCCTTTATTTATGAAGTTTTTTTTTATTTTTGTATTAAAAATTTTTGTAATATTGCGGATTACTTTAGAGGAAAGGTTATTTAATAGAGCTTTTATAGGATTATTTTAATGTACGTGATTTTCTCAGTTTTTATTTCATCAATAAAAATCAATTAAAATTTTCGATTTTTTTTTTATTCATTTACACATGAATTTTTTGATTTTTTTCTTTTAATAAACTAATTTGGTTTAAATAAGATCCCTTCTGATAATAATGGATTTCTTTTCAGCCGTTAATGCGTTTAAACCAATATATTATTAAATAAATTATACACAACACTTTCAAACTAATAACTAATAATTACTCATTCAAATCATAAACTCGACTATATCAGCCACTTACGCTAAATATTCATTTTTTTATTAAAAATTTTAATAAATGCAATAATATGCAAAACAAACCTCCCATATCGCAAAGTTCAATTTAAAGTCGCGCTAGAAGAAAATTATAATAATAAAAAAAAATTACATTTCATTTTAATTACTTTGATTGATTGTTTTTATATATTCCTATATTCCCACAAAACTGTGAAACAGGAAATGTCCGAATTTCACGGGCAATTATTTTAAGATTTCATTTGCCAAACATTCGTATCATATGATATTAATGATTACGCTAGCAAGCAAGTCAACTGTAAAAAAAGTCGATCCGTTTTTTATATTCCATCTTTTTTTCCGTAAAAGGCTCATATTTCCGGAATTAATAACCTTATATCCCGGATGGAATTTCCGTGAATGGATCCGTGAAAGGCTCATTTTTACGGAGTTTTTACTTTTATAGGGCAATTAAAGGAAGGCTAGTTGAAAAAAAAAAAAATTGTTATTATAATAATATTTAACCCAGGAGATCGTAATGTATAGTTTTTCATATAAGGTTTCTTATCTCACTCAGTATTTATGTATTTTGATGAGAAAATTTTGATTTAGTAAATTTAGTAATAACGAAATTATAAAGAATATATAAATGATGATTCCCGATTTACATTGTTTTTACTTCCAAGAATCTTTTGTATTACATTCCGTGTTTCGAACTTAAAATTTATTTTTGTGTGGTCACCGTTATTTTTAGATACTGTACCACCCTGGGTCAATTTCAACATTACCTAGATTCTGGCCAAAATTATTTTGTTTCGAGGATAAATTATATCACGTGATAATATAAATTTGTAATTCTGGCCAGCATCATAAATTTAGCCTGAATTAATTTTAGCATTAAATTTAAATGACTTAAATGACAAATGACTAGGTCATTTGCCATGCAACGTCTATATGTTTATGTTAACACAGGTGATTTCCGAGGGAGAGTGACAGATGGCATTCACGTAAACGGTGACAGTTAGACACCCAGGAGTAGCGTGGTAAGATTTTCTGAGAAAAAGTTGTACAATAAATATTAAACTTTTTTCATTCGAGCCATGCATTCACAGGATATCTTCCGTGTGATAATAAAAACAACCATTATTAGTAAAATTTTTGGTAGTTTTCTCTAGCATTATAATGATTATTGATCGGAGAAGTCATCTTCCACATTTAGAAAGATTTTAATTCTAAAAAAAAAAATCATATTAAAGAAAGCCATCATGTTTTTCAAGTGAATAATCCTTCTTTGCAAAGTACTGTACAGTCTGATCACGATGTAATGAACTCTCGACTTACCGAACTTTTATTTTTTTATTTTTATTTTTAAAACCACGTGAACAAGATTATAGAAAGATAGACAAGAACAAAAGATAATACAAATGTCGAACGCTATCTGATACTAAGTTATAATCAAACCGCCCGAGGACAGCGCCACTCTGGTACTTTTGACGAATCCGGGGAGTCCCTAACACGACATCACATCCCTAATAACCAAAGTAAAGGCAATCTAAACATAGACCCATATTTTTCTTTCGGTCGAAAAGACCGCCACCTGTTAATACTGTAATAGGTGGAATGGTTCACACTATTCTTATTGTTGTACGTTGTTAAAAAAGTGTACGTGGGGGTTACCCAAAAAAAAAGATGTATTAAAATACTAGTCAAAAAAAAAATGACAAAAAGAGAAAAAAAAAGTGCCTAGGTGAAAACGTAAACTATAACTATCAGCGTGACACTAAAAATAAAAAAAAAGCTGATAGGTGTTCTAAAAATTGTTAGACTGAAGCGAAGACTTTAAAGTCTTCTGGAGACGTAGTATCAGGTCTCAGTTTTTTGATGTCAGTGATCTGCCTATCTGCATTTGTAGACGAGACAGGAGGACGTTTATGAGGTCTGATTTCAAGTTGTTTCGCTTCATCGGATGTGTGTCCTTTATAGCGGTAATGGGATTCATCATCGTTCATGACTGAGAAATAGTCGATATTAAAGCGACCAAGCTCCTGTTCTAACTGGAGTAATTGTTTGTTAGTTTTATAAATGTTTTTTCCTTGTTTAAGCCTGTTCTCTAGAACAGCACGACGCTCAATCAGAGGCGTGATTTTCTTGTGATAATGATCTTGGAAATTGGTGAGATCTTTTGTCATATCTTCACGATATTCTATACGGTTGACAGAGGTACCCCAGAGTTGAGCTCTGGCAGAAAGTTCTTTTTCAAGAGTGAGGTGGGCAATATCATATGCTTCTTGATCTTTTTGTTGACGTAAAGCTAATTCATGAGCTTCTTTACGTTTTTTAATACCATCAAACCAATACGCACAGCCTGGCGTAAAATGTTGACCTTTGATTTTGGCCTGTCTGTTAGAAGTATAAACAGGGTCATCGGTTACGTAAGGAAGGAGACTGTTAGGAATCCAAATACCCAACTTGTCGTGCCAAATGTTCTCATCATCGATGGGAACGGGTTGTAAGTTGGTGGCAGGCGAGCTAGTATTTGTCGCACTAATTGAATCATCCCTTGGATAACGTGGAGCGGGTTGGCGAAACGGATAATGGTAATTCACATGTTGTATAGGTTTGTAAATATGTTGTGAAGGTAAAAATAGAAAACGGTGTTGTTTAGCACGCTGAAGTTTTTCTTCAAGACTATCCACACGTCTCTGTGACTTTCTATTATTGCCACGATTGTAGAAAACTGATCTACATGCCCGCTGAAAGCGGGATTTTTGTTTGATACTCCTTTTACTATTGTCAGAATGGTGTGAACGGAAATTATCCAACCGTTTACGGTACATGAGGTGTTTCTTCTGCATGTTAAAATGTTTGTGATTATTCGCTGAGTACGAGACATCGTACGAAATGCCTAAACGATTTGAGTAAACGTGTTTTTTCGTGCCATGTTTCCAGTTAAAATAAGTGCCCAATGCGTGATATTCTTTGTGGTTAATAGTATCATTATGGGTCAATAACGGGGTGTGTTTCTTGACATTATGAAAAATGTCTAAATTTTTGTGATGAGAAACGCAGGCTCGTCTATTATGAGACATAATGAAAGGAGAGGGGACACTACACAACTGTGTGTGCTCAGTTCCAAAATTGTAAGTAGTGGAGAAGTTACATGGTGTGAAAATACCAAAGTAAAAACGGTAACGTTTATAGGAAAAATTAAAGAAAGTTTTTGTGCGGGAATTTCTTTGTGTGACTTTGTCAGCACGTGATTTGATAAGAAAATATCTATCAAGTAATTTGCAACGAATAAGATTAAAATATTTCTTTTGAATAGAGCGGGGGATGACTTTTTGATGGGAAAAAAAATGTTGTAACATCTTACTAATCTGGTATTTCAGATTAGGAAAGCTACAGGTGGAAGAGTAGCTAATAGGGGTCGATTTCATGTGATAATCATTTGTGTGTATTTTAAGATGAATATCATTGGTGTTTGTTGAAGGATCGACTAACTCAAAAAAGAAACTTTTTGATCTCCTGATTTCATAAATCTTGTTACATCCAGCCCGTTTGGGTCTAGTCACGTGAAATTTGTGGAATGAGATATCGAAAGAAAATTTTCCCAAGGAAATATGTTTAGGGAAAAAAGAAACCATATTTTTAATATGTTGTATGGGTGTGGAAGACGAAAAAAAAATATTTTATTATAAAAACTTCTTTCAGAAGTCGGGTGATAAGGAGAAGAACCTTTCCATAAGAGGCCACCCAGTGGTCCTCTTTCTTCTCGAGCGTTAACAAACGTAAAAAAGTGTAAAAAAAAAAACAGTATTTAACTGCGGATTTCTATGTGAAAAAATGGAAAGGGGAAAGAGTTTTTTTTTTACTTACCGAACTTTTATTGATTTACCGCTTTATATTATAAAAATTTTAACTTAGTCACATGATTTGCCAATTTCGCCTGAAATTAATTAATTTCGGCCAGAATTAGAACCACTTAATTTTTGCCTAAATTAATTGATGCTTAATTCTGGTTGAAATTGGGATGTTAATCACGTGATTTTCTTATATACAAGTTCATATCCAATCCCCCAGGAATACGAGAGGAATCGCCCAGCCTATTATTCAACGAATCCTAGGCAAAACCGGATATCACGAAGTATTCATTCTATCAAAATTTTGAATAATTTTAGACAGATATAAGTAATCAATCATCGTCTTGTCATTCCTTGATATTGTGATGGTATTTCATCTCTTGTTACTTCTGGGAAATACATTTCTATCCAAATTGGTATCCCTATTTGTAATTGTTGTTCAATATCTTCTTCATGTCCTCTTACAAACACACTATTTCCAATTATTTCATTTGCTAAATTCCTATTTTGTCTAAAATTCGTATTAATTTGATTTCTTACTTCTCTTCGTGCTACAACATCTGATTCTAAATTTCTTGATAATGTATTAATCACGTGATTTGACGAGGTAATAACGTTGGTTGGATAATTGAAGGCCTGTTATACTAGGTATTGTTGTCACTATCGTTTTTAATCTTTCTACACCTGTTTTATAGTTGGTCGATTATCTGGCTCACCATCCCAACAACCTAAAAAAGTATATATAATTTAACAATATATTAAAAAAAAGTTTAAACATTATTTACCTTTATAAAGTCTTATATAATTTTCAGATGTATTAAGAATAGGTTCTTCTCTAAGACCTTGCGAAATTTCTATAGCCAAATCAATATCATATTCTTCGGTAGAAAAGGGAGATTTCCTGCTAGATATCTCCCATAGCAATACACCAATACTATATATATATATGTCACTCTTTTCATTATATGAGAATAATTGTGTTGAATTTTTATTATTTTTTCGTTTACTAAAAATTTTTGGATCAACGTGAGGAATTATTCCAAATAAATTTAATTGTTTAATTGTTTGGACGCTAATCCAATTCTTTTTGACAACCCGAAATCAGCCACCTTTTATTGTGTTTATGAACCAATATATTACCAGGATACTATTAAATGTATTATATAGTATTGTTTGTATACCAAATATTAAAATTGTTAAACAAATACAAATACTAATATATCTAAAACTGCGGAAATCGGAACCTCAAATTGTGATTTTGATCAGTTACAATTTCCTATTATAATTATACGCAACGCGTAACAATCGAATATAATTATGAGTCATCTTTTATGGAAAAATTTTTATGATGTAAATATAAAAACCCTCTATCCTCACTTTTGTTATCTAGGACCACGGCTCTCCGGACACCTACGTTTTGGCTTTCTCTTTTGTAGGTTCACAGCTTCATTTTGTCGTCTCTTCCCTTCCTCTAGCCCATAGTCAATTTTTATAACTTTCCTTTTCACTGTTTGTCTAAGGAAATATATATATATATTTTTTAAGTAATGAGTACATATATTAATTTTAGAAATACCTAGAGGCACGAACTTAAAAGTTACGTGACCTACAGCAAAGAGCTCCCTAATATATCTACCAAGGCGTGATGATACGATAAAAAAAATTTGGTCAAATTAATCAAGACTTCCTATTGTTATTTTAGTACACTTGTTAGTATAATAAAGAAGGTATAATTTCATGAAAAATATTATCATCAATTTTCTTGATATTATTAATATATATATATTTTTTATTAAAAAGATTAAATATATTAAAAAAGACTTTAATGATTTTTAGGAAGGATTACAGCTGAACAGCCAACATTGTTTAAACAAAAGCATAAACCATAATTAAATATTCCTCACTACCCTGCAAAGTTAAACACCACTGGTTTGGGAGGAGTCGTCCAGCCCAGTATTCCAAGAACCCATTCAACAAACCCTTAGCACTCGTTGCACCTGAAAAACAATTTGTTATTTTACGTGAAATCACGTGACTTCGAATGATGGTAATGTTGCATTATTTCAATATTTCTCATTGTTGTCCCTCTTCCGGACCTTCTTTTCTCTGGCCTTTTCCAATAGCTTCACCAACTTCTGCCTTGAACTTTGTGATGGAGTCAGTAGACCAGTTCCATTAGCTTTTCCTTTACCTCTTTTAGACTTTTGGATGCATAAAGGTATGTCAAACTGTTTCATAAAGCTAAAGAGAGTGGGCTTTGCCTGCCCTCATTTCTGGTAAGGTGAACAAGTGGATGCAATGATCAAGGAAGTTATGGCAACCTTGTGAGCTGGCAGGTCTATCTATGATAACTCTGTTAACTGACGGACCTGGCTGAGATACGAATAAGATCTTCTCAGTGTTGAGGTCTACTGTTCCACAATGAGGAATAGTTATGTGCCTTCCTCAACTTTGACTCATGCAATTGATTTGTTCTCATTGAGGACTTTTGGATTCAGAGAACTGGAAGCACTTCGTGGCCACAGTTTTACTGTGAATGTCCTTCTCTGTTTTCAGAATTTCTGGATGATAACAAATCTTTGTGTGTCCAGGAGAGATGTCGGTGAAAGGACACAATAACTTAAAGCTGTGTTTTTGTAAGTTCTTTCAAACAGATGCTCGTAGCTTTACCTTTTATTGTGCAGTTTTCAGGAACGGACAGTGAAAATATCGACACTAATATATAGGAAGAAGATCCGAACTGCTTCGTTATGAAACTTGATACTTTAGAAGGATACTGCCTCACGTCACTACCAGATGGTGGATGAAATACTTAAGTAGAGTACTTAGCAAAAGCTAACCATCCCTTTTAATTTATAGATGTCCCACAAGAAATTTGTAAGAACATTTAGTTATAACAAAGAGTTGGATGATGATTCTGAGGGGCATGTGATATATTATACAATAGTGGTTTAGGTATATGGGTTGGGAGTAGTAGTATGTATATTATTAATGTTTGAAAGATATATTGTATAATTTAATTATTTTACCATACTCAGTAAAAAAGTATTGTATAATTTAATTATTTTGCAATAACTAATTTTTTAAAATTTATTCAATACATGATTTTTTTTTATTTTAATTTATTTTTTTTATTATTTTTAATTTTTAATTTTTTTGTTTAATTTTAAATCTCTTTAAATTTTTCTTAAATGGTAAAAAAATTGAAAATTTAAGACAATATTACAAATTATACTTTGTATTTATTGAATTGTTTAGAATTTATGGTAATATATGAATATTATCATTTTTTTAGCTAAATCATGCTCCTTTTCAAGATTTGCTATCATAATTCCATTAAACGAACCTTAGCTTCCCATTCCCTTAAAGCAAGGTCTTTTTCTCTATATTCAAGTTCTTTGAAATTTAGATTATTATGAATGTTTTCTTTATTATCTTCAGTATTTTCATTACAATCATCTTCAGAATCAGAATCAGAATGAATTGTAATAACTTTTGTAGTCTTTTTACTAGAGTTTGCACATTTTCATTTTGCAGGAATTATATTTTTTTTCTTAGACTGTGCATTTGCTGATGTATAAATTAAATCAAATTAAATAAATTTTAGAAATGTATTCAAATCAAATAAATTAAATATATAATTTATTAATTTTAACATTACCTTTATGCTTATTTAGACTGAATGTTACAAGCAATAAGGCTTTTGTCATGTCCCTGATTAGGCACATTAAATTTTTTATGAACATGAATAGTAGTAAATCTTACCTTGTCTAATTTTCTTCCTCTATAATTAATAATAAAAAAATATATATTATTATGTTTGTTTTTTTGCTATAATAAAAATATCTACATACTGAAAAATCGTTGTAACTAATTTGAGATTCTTTCCTCCACGATTACTTAGTGCATGCGCAGCTTCTGCAGCATTGGTGCTGTTAGGAGCATTTATCCAAATCTCATTATCTATCTTTGACATATTCTTATTTAAAGATCCAATCACCCACTTTTGCTGATAAAATGAAATCCAATCTAATAAAAAAAAATTAATTAATAATATTGTCATAAAATTATATTAAAAAACTACAAAAATTAAAAATTTACAAACCAGATGTATTTTCTTCAGCTGTTTGAATCTTATCAAAAAATAAATCAATTTCATTTTCGGACTTAGCTGTAAGAAGTAGATGTATCATGTTGAATTAAAATAGTTCAACATATATATTCGGTGCATGATTAGATAATTCCGAGTATTTTATAATTACTAATTGGCATTATGCAAGTCTGACCAGAATTAATAGTAAATACATACTGTATATAGTAAAAAAACGTCAACATTGTTTTTTCTATGACATTAAACGTGGTTACATTGGTAATCTGACAAGTTAAAGATGTTGGAAACTCATTCCTAATTTCTATTGTAAGATTACATAAACTAAGATAATTTATTATAAATTTATTATAAATTATTTATATCTTTGTGATACAATTCGCTTCAATTAATCCAAATTTATTATTTATACCTATTTTCACATTTTTATGCATCTAACTTGTGAAGATCTCATGATAATAATTTTTCCTAATTAATTTTCTTTAATAAATAAATTTATTTTTATATTTATACAAGATATTACTACGACTATCATTGTTAAAACTTCTAAATATGTACTAGTGCATTTTCGCTATGAGTCATTTTGTTTACTTGAGGGATTTTTGCAACATTTGATAAATAAATAAGTACGTAAGCCCATAATCTTAACTGAACCGATATAGCACTCAATCCACTGCAAACCAGCCCCACGTTTCAAAAACTTTCCAAATGTAGCGAAATGTAGCGAAATTTAGCGAAATTAACGCGGTCAGACTTAGCAGCTCAGATACTTGTTTATAAATTAGATAATATATTAACGTATACTATCTATCGAATTGATTTGTGGAGATAAATTCACAATAATAATTTCATGTCGTTATCACTATTTAAAATCTCGCGTACTATAATTACTTTTAAATCTGAATCGTTGACAAATATTTAATTTTAATTTTACCCCTTAGAAAAAAAAACATGTATATAAATAATTTTAAATTTTTAATACTACTTTCTCAATTTGTCCACAATTTGTTAGACAAATCATATCATATATCCAATAAAGGTTCAATTCGTTTACTTTAAACGTAGAATAAGAGGTTTGAATATTATTATAAAAAAAACTTTGAATGAAACAAAAGTTGATTATGATCTGCTAAATATTTTCAAATATTTAATACAATGCAGCAAACAATTTCTAAAGCCTAATTTCCTATTCAGCTGTCAAAATGTTATAATTAAAATAAAAGAAAAAATATATCAAAATGTGACAAACAAACAATATCCAATTAAACACATTGAAATTATTGAAATTAGATATTGTCTATAGTTCTCCGATTTCAATGAAATTTCTATCGTGTATTACATTTTTTTTTTTTAGATCAGTATATATAAAGATGATCGATTAAAAAATAAAAAATCTCTTTTTTTGTGTCTACATTATTATTTATTCTGATGTCAGAATACATGATACAAAAAAAATTCTGAAACGGGATCGTCAAACGCCAATGATAATTATAGTACCTAAATTGTAAACACATTCTCTAACAAGTAAAAAAATACGTCTAATAAAGAATATTAAATTTAGAACAATCAAAAGATATTCATGTTAATAATATTTCTAAAATATTTCTAAATATTTCTAATTATTGATCCTGCGAAGATCCTGCAGGTAGAATTAATGATTCAAAGTTATCGTTACTATCATGAAAATTTGATCCATTGAAGAAATTATTTACTATAAGGTCTTCTGTAATTTGCGGTATAGTTATTCGAACGATTCGATTGATGGTTGTGGCATTATTAATTCGTAAAACACGGTCTTGGTTAGCAAATTGTGACGACCTGCGCGTTCTTCGTTTATTGATTCTTTGTCTGAAATTTCTCGGTGACATCGAATTATGATTTTACGTTCTTTTTTGTATAAATATCAATAGAAAACCGAAATTTTTTGTATAAATATCGAAATATTAATAAAGAATATTATACTGAGTATTGCCGTTTTTACAGGATCTTTTTTCTGTAGTAGTAATATATTAAGAATTTTCGACAGAGAAAATTTTCGAGTATTTATAAAAAAAAAATTGTTATCTCGGAGCCTAAATAAAATCTTAACGTGATTTCTTTGATATTCTTTACTGATTCAGTTTATTTTATTAGATTATAAGCTATAAAAAAAAATTCGAACGAAACGAAATAAACCTGTAAATAACTACTATACTAATGATTAAGTGATGATAATCTGTATCTTGTTGAATGATAGTATGTGACTCACAAAGAAAACGCTGAACTTAGTTTAGCGTTATAATTACATTGAGTGTATTCAATAAAAGTTTAATAGCTGCACATAAGTGCTGCCATAAACACGAGATATATTAATAATTACATTACAATAAACCTTAATTCTACAAAAATATAAACAAATTAAGTAAAATTGTCTGAGGAAAGTACTCCGGACATTTAACTTTTTTCTAATTTGTTCGAATTTACTTTGTAAATTTACCTTATGGAGCTTTCGTAAGAGGGTCGCATTCATTTCACCGACAATCATTTCACTCACCGACAGACGTTTCACCGACAGGGTCATTTCACAGACAAATGTTTCTCCGACAATTATCTCACCGACAAGGGAATTTAGGATTAGGTAAGAAAATTAGGGTTAGGATTAGGGTTAGGTAGGAATTTGAGGTTAGGATTAGGGTTAGGTAAGGAATTAGGGTTAGGATTAGGGTTGGGATAAGGTTTAGGTAAGTGGATTAGGATTTCAAAACTGTTGGTGAAATGACTTTCGGTGAAATGATTTTCGGTGAAATGAGCTAGACCCTATCTCAATGATGCAATCCAACAGCCAATCCTAAATAAATTAATCAATTAGTATTATTATTCCTTATTATGCCTATTATGCCCTTTAAATAACCTAGAACATTTGTAAAGTTGTTAGCAATAAAAGTAGCATTATAAGGTCACCTGATATTTGTTCAAAGTCATTCAAATGATCACGCCATCATGCACGGAACGAGAGCATTGTTTGTGGAGTCAATAAAAACTGGTCTGGCAGATTGAATTTTTGTTTTGTACGTTTGTATGAAAGTTTTGAGATTTTATTTTCATTTATTTAAGACATCGTTGTTTGAAACTTTGTTATTCGATATGAAGATTTCAAAATGCAAAAGAAGTAAGACCCATAATAAATTGGGACCGAAAATTATAAGTTTTAATATTCATATTGTTAGAACGATAAATTAAATTACCTTGTTTTCTTTATTTAAAGTATAATGCAAACTTTGTCTATGATCATTGTTATGCACGATAATACAATTATAGATAGGTATTGTTTGTTAAGTATTGTGTGAAGGAATTAATCTTAACGTCGTACAGTTGTACTAGTCATTTATTGAACGACAGTGCGAAGGTTATTTGCGAAACTGTCGATCTATTTGTATTAGAATTATGAACGAATTTACCAATAAGTTCAGTCGTAATCAAATGCATTCATCGAACAAATAAAACTATCTTATTGTACATTTTATTATCATTAACACTTAACAGTATATTATTGATTATATGTCTTTTATTCATTATAATTGTCATTAAGTGTAACTAGTATGTAAACGTGATTGTAAAAGAGAATGCACTATATATATAACCTTTTACGAGTTGTTTTTGAAAATATGATTAATTATTAGATGACGTGGTTAGAGTGGGTATCCTGACATTTCGCCGAAGTCATTTCGCCGAAAATTTCTAATCATATTTTTCCAAAATATCCATATGATATTTACGGAAATTTTGTTACTAAACCATTATTAATAATTAATATTAATAATAAAAAATCGTTGAATTCTTAATGATAAAATGTCAATCGCTATTTAGTGAAGTATATTTCAGTGAAATGGATGATTCGGAGAAAATATTCGGGCGAAATGGCCATTCAGCGAAATTTCCATTCGACAAAATGTCTCTTCGATGAAACATCCTTTCGATGAAATGGCTTCTGTGAAAGTCCTCTGGCGAAATGGACTTAGGCGAAATGTACCGTAACCGTTAGAGCGTAAGTTGAACTACACTTAATTTATGCTACATCACATAGTAAGTATATAATAACGTACATGTTTATTTACCGATAAGGCCGTCATATTATAAATAGTAACAATTATATCAGACTTATTCACATATATATATATATATGTTTGATGCTTGTAGACTGCTGTAGTAACAGCAAAGAGACGATTGGGAAACGAGCGTTAGTTTAAATAAGAGAAATTATATATCATATATTTTATACCAATAATGTCACTGCATATCGTACTATCAATGCGAATTTCTTAATAACTTTACTACATACACGTCTTAAAGTCAAATATTTGAAATAATCTAGTTACCTTGACATCTGTGTGAAAAATTACGTTCCCGCAACTTTACAGATATTTTACGACAAATGATCACAAGTCACAACCACTACTACACGCGTTCCTACTTCAGACAACACTTTATAGCTACCCAACTAGCGTTCCAAATCTGCCCTTTTATGTCATGCAATTCTCCCCAGGTTCAAACATTACCAATTTATGATATTTTATACAAAAAAAAGTATTGGGGATTAAATCTAACGAATGTGCGAGTTATTTAGAAGTCGAATCATGGAACCATAATTACAGAGTGGCAGATATGGAGTGAAGTTTTGGAATTAGCTATCAGCCATTAGTTAGTGATAAATTAAAAGAGATTGTCATGTACGGATTGGTACCATCTAAAATTATGCACGGATATTCATTATGAAAGAAATTAACTCGTGATTAAAATCTTCTCAGACTCGGAAGTAAGAAAAGAAAAAACAAAGATTATTCAAGTATGCAATGAATTCTTGAATGAAACATGATCTAAAATTTGGTTGCTGAGTTGTAGTGATGTAGTTGAATTTGAAAAGAGAGGGATAGGTAGGAAAGATAAAAGAAAGTTATGTGGATTGTGTCACAATTTCCTCTTCATTATAATCATTATAATTATCAATTTCGTCGTATTTTTCTTCAACATAACGAATATCATTCATTCTTCAGCTGTCTATTTACCATAATTAGCTAATTCAGATTTACATTAGTAACATAAATTTTTTGACATAGCTTCTATGTCTATTGATAGTCGTGTCCTTCTTTTCCCAATCAGCCACCCACAAATTGATCAAATTCGTTCGCAACTAGCTGCATGGGGAATAATGGAAAATAATTTTATTGCAAGTAGTTGGAGATTATATGGGGTAGGTACGCACATTCTCCACAAGTATTTATTTGTGAAATGTATGGTGGATTATATGATGCTGTTTGGAAATGAAACTCA